TAAGTCTGCCATTACACTGGAGCCAGTTCTTTCAACAGTCTTTCTTTTTTCCTAGATAGATATGCTTTTATTTTAGCACAAAAATGAAATAACAATAAAGATGTTGTCTTGTAACTATCATATTTATCTTAAAGTATTAATATTATCATTAAATTATTTTATTATACTACTGAGTTCATTTCCCATGTGTATTTTTGTCTCCTTACCATCTCCATGTCTGACCACCCCTACTACTATGTCCTATCATAACATTCCATACATACTTAAAACCAAGCAAAGGGTGGAGTTCCATCTTTAAAAACTAAACAGGCATTTTGGACAACACATTCTTGGCAATGGAACCTGAACAACATTTATCAAACACAGTAGGTAAAGTTCTCACTTTGCACTATAAAAAGGATAGCCAGATATCAACTGTCTCAGAAATGAAATAAGATGGAAAATATTAACAAACTGTTTCAACTGTTTTCTTAAAGAGGCTTCCTCCACTGCAAGCAATCTTGAATAGCCTCCTGGTTAGTAATCTGGAAGCAATTCTTCACATAATTGATAAACTTGGCTTCCCCCTTGGGAAGAAAAACACCTTTTTCTATACTTGCTTGCATTTTTGCTCTAATGTCTTCTATGGAACTAGGTCCTTTGGGTGTTTTCAGGGTCTTTTCCTGTTTTCTGAAGGATTCTTTGCCTTTTGATCTTGGGGTTGATGGTTTTGAGTCTTTTCCATTCTGGTTTGATGTTTGTGCATTTTTGGCTGGAGGATCTCATATGGATTTCTTCACTGAAGCTTTCTCCTCAGTTTTCTTATCATCAAAATCATCCTCATGTTTATCATCATCGTTGTCATCACTGTCATCATCATCTTCATCAGCAACTAGTTTTATTTTTTTCTGTGCAACCTTGCTACTACTTACAGGGGCAGATTGCTTTCCAGATATACTTAATAGTTTTACACCCTCTTCCTCCTCCTCGTCTGACTCTGCATCTTCCTCCACAGCTACTAAATGTCATCCACTAATATGCACAGGCCCTGAACCACACTTCAACCTTAAAACAACAGGTGGTGTAATTTCTAAGCCCCCAAGGGAAACCATTGGCTGCGGACATTTTCAAAGTTTCCAGTGTTTGTTACTTTACTTTGACTGCCTTCATAATTCATAGCCTCCACTTTGACAATGTGCAATTGGTCCTTTGCACTAGTCCCTAAACTGACGTTCTTAATGACAACTGGTGCTCATTTTCATCATTATCTACCTTAAAGTGATAATCTTTGTCAGCCTTTAGTTCACAATTGAAAAGGAAGTTCTGGGGCCTCAGGGGGCTCATGTCCATATCCATCGAATCTTTCATGGAGTGGTAGCATGCACTTAGGTGGGAGAAAATGCAGATGGAAATGAATGGCTACTACTCCAGAGAAGAGATGCACAGGTCAAAATCATGCCAGGCTAAATATTCTTATATATCATTCCTTAAATAGCAGTTATATAGTGCATCGATACAGTGTGATATATTTAACTGGACCTTTATTGTAAATTTAGATTGTTTCCATTTTGTACATCACAGACAATTCTTCAATTAGCATCTTAACATATATTCACAGTTAATTTCTTAGAAATTTCTAGAAGCTAAGAGAAAGTATTTACAAATGGATAAGATAATATGTATTGACACAGAACTTTGACCAGCAATCTGCAGCATGCAGCTGAGGAAATCAGCTCATTACCTGTAGTCTCCAGCCCAAGACCCAGCATGCTGGACAAGACAGGCTTGTCTGAAGTAAGACCACTACTGCTAGCAAACAACCCTGGAAAGCCAAACTATACCCTTGTAATAATTAGCCAGGATTCGGTTAGCAACTGACAGCTTCCCTAATTTTGGTCCCTGTTGAAATTTCAGACCAACCAAAGAAAGCTAAATGTGCAGACCTAACAAGTCTCATAAGACACCAGGATTTACTTGGCTGTCCAGCCCCACCAGGCCAACAGCCTCCATCTGAGGTACATAGAGACTCCCTTCCCCCTCTACCTGGCTCTAAGTTTCTCCCAAAACCAAATGCTGGCCTCTGATTCCCTGCTATAACAAGCTCTGAATATGGTCTTTGCTTGTTCACACTGTAAAATAAAGTGAAACCAAATAAACAAACAAATATGGTTTTAAAGGCTTTTGTTAAGATTGTGGTTTTGCCTAACCTTAAATTCCAGGATATTCCTGAGGCCTGAAGATAATCTTGGAGCCTGTTGTGGGGATGACTCAGGTTGGAAATAACAGCACAACAAGGAGAACTGCAGTCAGGAACCCTTTCCAATCTGTCCAGGGTCAAGCCTTGTTGTTCTGCCATCAAGCAGCAACAATAACCAAAAAAAAAAAAAAATCCCCTCGCTTCCCAATGTCATCAATAGTGTCACTGCTGTTTACATATGCACTCCAGAATTGAGATTTTAGATTACAATAACAAGCTTTTCTTTAAGAACAGAAGAACAGAAGAACAAGAAGTTGTTACTAATCTCACAGATCTCAGTTACAGCTGAGGTCTGCCTGATTTGCCACCATTGGCATTGATGGCCTCTGAGCTGAGAGCAAAAGACTTATCTAGTCCTCCTTTCTTCCAGAAACTAAAAACCGCTGGCCTTTCCCGAAGGAGCCCCCAAACCCACTCCAGCCCCTTTCCCTCCTGTATATTCAGTCCCCCTCCAACTATGCCCGTTCCGTCTCACAGATCAACCACAGTCCCACACCACCTTCCACACCACTGGGATTTCCACCTTAATACTGCTCAGATAGAATGTGGTTGGCTAGAAAATGTAAGAAGAACAGAAAGTTGAGGAGACAGACAGATCAAATAAACCTTACAGATGGACTGTGGGGAAAATAAGACTGAAAGACTGAAACTGGTTGAGTAGCACGACTTCACATATTTTCCTAATTAAGTCCTTCTAGGAAAGCTATTACATATTATCACTCATGCTTCACTGGTGAATCTGTGATTCAGATGGGTTTTGTGCAAGCTCACCCAGCTGATACTGCAGAACCAAACTTTGGTCCTGGGCTATCTGGCTCCAAAGCCAGTACTCTGTCTACACAACATGCTTCTCAAGTCATTACTCAAGTCCTCTGGATTATTTATGTTCAATACAGCACCTAGTAGCAATACAGGGTTATGTAAATGAATTAAAATTTAATAGAACTAAAAATACAGTTTCCTAGCTCCACAGTTCCCATTGCAAGCATCTGATGACTGAGCATGACTTAATGGCTCCCACATAGGACTGCAGATGGGGAATATTTTCATCACTGCAGAAAGTGCTGTGGGTCTGTAAGTAAGGGTCTTCATACTGAACAGATGATGAACAGATGTAAGGTGGATACCTTACACAGTATCAGGAAGATTTTCATCTCAAGAAAAAGTTTACCTCTGTTTTCATGCACTGCCGATATCTTTAAAAATTTTGCCTGCATTAGAGGAAATCACCCAGAGCTGCCAATATGGAGCCAGAAGAACCCCCAACTGTCTCTGAGAACATAGAATGGTCAGCAGCTAAGGAACAATCTTAGCTCTAAAACATGCTGCAACCCAAATTGAAGGAACAGAATTGAAGGAAGAATGCTGCAGCCCAAATTGAAGAAATGAACCATCCCATGCACTCAAAATTTCTAGCCAGTGCCCTACCATACAACCAAGCTCAACACAGACCTCTGCAGAAATGAGGTCCTCAAAAGTCACAGAAATTAAGACATTTAAAGCCCAGGGACACTCTATTTATAAAAACTCTACTCTTGTAATATCATTTTTGAATGATGAAACTGAAGCCTCTCTGTAACCACAAGTAACCTAAAAGTAGATGCTCCTAGCCTTCACAGGGAAAATGGAGTTTAAGTGTGATAAGCAGGGATCGTGGGACAAGGCTGCTCAGGATCAGCCTCAGACCTGGTCCTTTCTGTGCTGATCAGACTAACTTGGGAGAGTAAGTAAAATCCTAAGCCTTGCTGCAGACGAGCAATGACAACAATATGTACAACACAGGGTTCTATGCAGAGTGAGTGACTTAACTATGAAGATAACTGCATAGTCTATCATTCAAACTGAGGATGCTTTAGAGAGAAATTCAGTGCTGCTAATAATTATATTAACAAAACAAGTGTACGTGGGGACTCTTCTAGGTAAACCATGATGTACAGTCATCCCAGTTAATATATACAAAGTACTTAGAACAATACCTGGCATAAATTAAGAGCTATAGAAATGATTGTTACTATGTTTACAACTTGGCACAATCAGGGAATTCTGCATTTTGTAATGGAATTCAGCAGGAAAAGCCAGATTCACTGAGCAGAAACCTGCTTCATGATTACTTTTACCAGGATGCATCTTCACATCTCACATATTTTCTTGTCACTATTGTAAAATATACTTATTTCCCTGCAAATACATTCTTGCTTTCTAGGGAAGCTAAAAATTCATTATATTGCTTTAATTTTTCTGGTATGGTCAACCAATAGAGGTATAGTATCTCCAATCTGAAAATCCAAAATGGTCCCAAACTGTAAACTTCCTGAGCAGCAACATGCCACCCAAAAGGAAAACTCCACACCTGATCGCATGTGATAGATCACAGTCAAAATGCAGGTACACTAAAAATACTGCTGAAAATTGTCTTCCAAATATTTATCTGAAGTGTATGTGGAACATAAATGAGTCTAAACATGAACATGAATTTCACCTGTAGACTCTGGTCTCATCCTCAACATATCTCATTGTGTATATGAAAATATTCCAAAACCTAAAAAAATCCAAAATCTGAAACACTCATGGATTGGGATCTTCCAGCATTTAGGATAAGGATACTCTACCTGTAAGTGTGTTGCTCATCATCCAGCTCAGTACCAGCACATTCAGCACACATAGACACAAAGCTGAACAGTAAATGATTGATCAGAACAGACCACAGGGGCAAAGGACAAAGAGAGGCTCAACTTGCCACCCAAAGAAGAAGAAAGAGATGTACCTCCATGAAGTCCTCTGGCTTCACTGGTTCCATGTTGATCTGCTGAGCCCTTTAGCTGAGTGGAGGTCACCACCTTGGAAGTGTTGATTGATTCCAACAGGGAGACAAACTCCAGGAAGTTGGACTCATTAGGAATCTGCCCCTCCTTCGCCTCCAGGTCAGATTTGGAAGTAGGTATAGTTTTCTCCTTGTCACTAACCACATCCATAGAACTTCTGCTCAAGAAGACATGGGTCCCGCTGTCCACACTGAGCACACGGGCATGTCTCTTCTCGTGGCTGCCCTTATCAGAAGCTGGGTCCAGGCTAGCCTGGCTGTCCCCCTCACCCTCAGCCTCGGAGGCCAATGGGGGTGTGGAAGCCTGGGCTGGTTCCCTGGCATGCCTTGGGCCAGGACTGCAGGCCTCTGTGGCTCTTCCTGCCTCCTCAGAAGAGCACTGATCAGAGGCCTCCACCCTCAGTCTATCTGGACTTCTCTGACTTCCGTGGCCCTCAGGCCCAGTGACACCTCCTCCTCCATCCTCAGACAGTTCAAGGGTGATCACAGGAATTTGGATATGCTCTGCCTTTGGAGGACTGGCCCCCCTTGGGGAAGCTGGCTCCATATGAGACCTTGGGCCAACCTGCTCTGTGCCTGTCACCTTCAGGTGGAGGCAGCTCCCCTCCTCTGTCATGGAGTTACTGCTCATTGTGATGACGATTTTAATGGGCTCATGCAGACTTAACGGGTCCCCAGGCTGAGAGGTATCAATGAGAGTCACAGTCACCTCACTATCTGAGGAGTTTATGCCCTGGCTAAAGGGCAAGTCCACCTGGCTGGAAGTGCCCGCCAGCCTCTCTGCTGGTTTGGCCATGACAGTATGACACTGGGGGCAACTGTTGCTCAGGCTGTCCTGTGGTGACCTGCTTTGCAACTGCTCCCTTATGGAGCCTTGGGGACAGGTGACTGGCTCTGGAATCAGTACTGAATTCTCACTACCCCAGGGCTGGAAAGAAACATCTGTTTCTAGTAGATCATATTGGGATAAAGACAGGCGTGGCAACTTCTTCAAATCTTCCCTGTCTACTAAGCCACCCTCAGACCTGTGGCAAGGCGGGCACTGCCCCTGGCCTTCTCGTCCCCTCCTTTGCTCGTTGATGAGAGCTTCTGGGACAGCCGGATTGGTAAGTCCTGCTGACCTGGGCATGGGTTCTGGCAAGCACACCTGAGAAGCAGGTAAGCTTTCCGTCTTGATGCCAGGTGAGGTAGACGACATTGGTGCTCCAGGGTGGTCCTTGGACAGAATGACTCCTGAGGCGAACCACAAAGAGAAACCTCATCACTACCTGAAGTGGATGAACAAACTCCCAGAGCAAGTACCGAAAGTGATGAACAAATAGCAAAAACTCAAAGTCTTGGGAACAAATGAGCTTGGATGCTTATTTTTAAGAATATCACTTCCCCTGTGAAATGGTACTAAAATGTCTATATTTGTGTTGTTGTTTTCCAGCACTTGTGCTGGGGATTGAACCCAGGGCCTTCTCACTGAGGTTACAACTCTAGCCATTTTTATTTATATATTTTTAAAATTTTGAAACAAATTATCTGCTGGAAGATAAAATATGTAAAACTCTTGAAGGCACAGGTATAAGCAAAGGGTTTCTGAACAGAACCCCAATGGTACAAGAAATACTACCAAAAATCAACAAATGGCATTATATTAAATTTAAAAGCTTCTGTACAGCAAAGGAAACAACCTTCTTCACAACAAGTGAAGAGACAATCTACAGAATGGGAAAAAATTTTTGTCAGCTACTCTTCAGATAGAGGACTAATGTGTTAGTTACTTTTATCTCGTTGCAGAGACAAATTACCCGACACCAAAAGTTGGAAGGGAAGGGGTTTATTTGGCTTACAGTTTGTAGAGGTTTCACTCCATAATCAGCTGGCTCCAAGGCAGGGATGGCAAATAGGCATTGCAGAGGAGAAACAACATGGCACGCACAAGGCGGCAGCAGCAACAAGAGAGAGAGTTACCGGTGTCTCCCTGCCCCTTTTATCTTATTCAAACTACTGGGATCAGGGTGGTGCCAAACTAATCCCTTACATGTAGTGGTTTAGTAATCACTTAACCCCAGCATCACACATTCCAGGTTAAACTACTTCTGAAAAAGAAAGCCCCACCTCATCCACGTGAGGCTTTGCGGGAGGGGGGGGGCACCTAAACACAAAGCATAACAACTAATATCTAGAATATATAAAGAACTTAAAAAAATTAGATCCTCCCCTCAAATAAAAGACCCAATCAAAATATGGGCAACTTAAATGAATTGACACTTCAGAGAAGTATAAATGGTCAATAAATACATGAAAAAATATTCAACATCACTGGCCATTAGAGAGATGCAAACAACAATGAGATCCCATCTTACTCCAGAAAGAATGGCTATCATTAAGCAATCAGATAATAACAAATGCTGCTGCAGAAGGAAAAAGGAACAGTTCCACATTGTTGGTTGGAATGTAAACTGGTGCAACCACTGTGGAAATCAGTATGGAGGTTTCTCAAAAAACTAAAACTAGAAATTCTGTTTCACCTAGCTATTCTCTTCTAGGCATCTTCCTCAAAGAGTTACAGACATCATATTATGGGGATACATACATACTCACGTGTATAGCACCACAATTCATAATAGGTAAATTTAGGAAGCAGCCTATATGTCCATCGACAGACAAATGGATAAAGAAAATGTGGTATTTATACACAGTAGAGTACTACTCTCATAAAGGTAAACCTGAGTCATTTGTAGGAAAATGGATGCATCTTGAACCATAAGATGAAATAAAATAAATCAGACACACAAACTTAAATACTGCATGGTTTCTCTTACATAAGAAACCCAAAGTATAAATAAAAGATAGATAATAGGAAGTAGGGAGATAGATTTTTTTCAAAGAGGCAGAGTCATGTGATTTAACAATATATCTGGGTCTTACAGTCACAAATCCTTGGCTCTGCTATGTACTAACTTGCTGCCTTGGGCAAGTTACTTGGTCTTTCTAAACCAAAATAATAATCTCTGGCTTTTTTTTCTCCAAAGACTGTTTTAGCTATTCTGGTCTATTACATTTCCATGTGATCTGTTAATTTCTGCAGAAAGACAACTGGGACTTTGCTAAAGATTGTGATGAGTTTGTAGATAAATTCAGGGAGTATTTTTATCTGAACAATATAAATTCTTCCAATCCATGATTGTGGAATGCTTCTCTTCCTTAATTTCTTTTAACAATGTTTCGTCATTTTTCGTTTACAAGTCTTGCATTTCTTTTGTCAAATTTACTCCCAAGTATTTTACTCTTTTAGATGCTGTAACTAAAACTGGGTTCTTAATTTCATTTCATTGTTCATTGCTAGTGTAGAAATATAATTGATTTTTGCACATTGATTTCATATTCTCAAATATACTGAACTTACTTATTAGTTCTAATAGCTTTTTAATGGATTCTTTAGGATTTTCCATGATGTTCTCAGTGAATAGAGATACTTTTCTTTTCCAGTCTTGTTGCCTTTTATTTCTTTTTTTTCATTAATTGCTCTGGTTTGAGTTTCTTGTACAATGTTAAATAAGAATAATGAGAGTGGCTATCACTGCCTTGTTTCTGGTTTTATGGAGAAAGCATTTGAATATTAGCTTTGAGTGTTTCATAGGTGGCTTTTATTGGGTTTGGGATATTCTCTTATAATCCCAATTTGTTTAGTGTTTTTAGCACGAAAGGCTGTTGGATTTCACACATCTTTCTCTAGAAACTATTAAAAGAAATGAATTCATTGTTCCTTTAACAATAGAAAGACTAAGATTGAAATAAGGCGGGGGTACACATTGCTTGGGTGCAGTGTTACTAAAAGCAAACAAACAAAAACCATAGGTTTAGTAGTCAAGAATACTTTAAACGACACCTGTACATTTAACTAGCTGTGCTTCAGAATGAAATGGTATATGCAAAATCTCTATTCAATTCCTAGGACAAATAAAAAAAGAAGGAAATAATTGGAATGGTAAGGGTAAGGAGCTAGAACGGATATTCACAGGACACAGGAGGGGGTTCTAACAGGACAACTAATCTAGAAGAAATGGTTTAATATGAGGGAAAAGCTGTGCTTCCCTGTGTGCCTGTAAAAATAAACACAAAGTACATAACATTGTTAAAAAGCATATATGTGGCTAGAATAGTGGAACCTTAACTAATGTTCATTTTATATCAGTACTAGGAATATACACAAAAGAATCTGGATAATCTTTTATTTTTATAATGGAATGTAGCTGAATAAAGCAAAAAGAAATTTCATTTTAGGGGTTTAGGGCCATGATGCTAATTTTAGCTGTTTTCCAGAAAATAAAATTTTAAATTTTTTTCAAATTTTGGATGGTGCATAAAGTTTGTTTTTGTAGAAGTACTGGGGGAAAAATAGAATTGCAGAGCCAAGTGCAGTGGCACACACCTATAATCCCAGAACCCTGGGAAGCTAAGAGGGGAAGATTCAAGTTCAAGTTAGGAGTAACTTAGTGACCTTTATCAAAATAAAAAATCAAGGGCCAGGGGATTTAGCTCAGTGGTTCCATCACCTGCCTTGCAAGCCCAAGGTCCTGAGTTCAATCCCTGGTACCAAAAAGTAAAATAAAATAAAATAAAAAACTCAAAAAAGCACTGGGGATGTAGCTCAATGTGAAGGTCCTGGCTTCACCCTCAGTACCACAAAACAAAAAATTCAGAGAAAGGAAAGATTTCATTCAGCTTTCCAAAAGCTTTATTAGGACTGGTGTCTAGATGCCCCCCAAAGCCTCATGCAGTCAAAGGTAGGGATTTTTGGAGGAGGCTGGATCTAGGTGTGTGATGCTGGGATTAAGGGGAGGTGATTGGTTTAGCATAGTTCTGGGTGTAGATAATGGAAGCCCCACCCTGGGTATGGGTGGCACCACCCAAAAGGTGGGATAAAAAGGGAGAGGTAGGCTTGCTGCTGCTGATTCCTGCTTTGCCCTCTCCTACCTGCTTGCCATGGACTGTTTCTCCTCTGCAATACCCCTCAGCCATGCCACCCTGCCTTGGAGCCAGCTGACCATGAACTGAAACCTCTACAAACTGTGAGCTGAAATAAATCTTTCCTCCTTTACCTTTGGTGTCAGTATTTTGTCTCAGCAATGAGAAAAGTAACCAAGACAGGCCTTTTCTAAGTCTTTTGAAGGTCATCAAAAGACAGTAACATAAAATCTTAGTAGTAAACAAAACCAAAAAAAATTTAAGCTAAAATTAAATTCCCCAAAATGAAATGTGTAACTTGAAAGAAATGTGTTTATGCAGAATGCTACATAATTTCACCTGTCATTTTTCAATGTATCTACTGTAATAAAGTGTGTATGCCAATAATAAACTTATTCCGTATCTGCTATTATGAGCTGTATGAAAATGAGGCAGAAACAACAGAAATTACAATAAAATATCACCATTTGAATGTAGACAATTCCAATGAGAAATACTACAAATTAATACTTAAAGAAATAAAGTTAAAATATAACTATGCCTCCTTAAGTGTGGTTCTAATGTTCAGTTAATGCACTGGCATTCTGTCTCGTCAAATATTTCTCACCTCACTGAGGATAATGCTGCGATAGAATATTAAATGATGACAGCACTCTACCTTTGAGATCTTCCACTGTTTCCTGCACGGGCAACTCCTAAAGAAATAAGAAAACAAAAGCCAATATACGACTCAACTCAGTGCACATGTCCACCCCATCAGCAGCCACTGCTTTTCTAAATATGGAAGAAACACTTCCGTGTCCACCCACTCCTTAAGCTACAACAAAATGGGAAGGCAAGATGCATACAAAAATGTACTAAGTACAGACATCTTGCCAAGACAACTGTACTGTGACAAAGGGAGTTTTGCTAATTAAAAAGGAAAAGAAGAAGGAATAAGGCACAATTTATATTATGATGAACATAGCCAATAAAGTTACTCTAGGGAAAAAAAGGTAATTTATTGACTTTGCAAGAGACAAATGTAACTTAATGTGGAAAGCAGTGGGGAGGTGGGGTCAACTCCAAGTGGGAGGCTTTGTAAATGTGATGACTAAATGGAGGAGAGACAAGACAAAGGATAAGGAAGGAAAGATCTGTGCCCAAGGCTCTCTGGCCAGGGGAAGATTGCAGAGGAGGCTGGTGGGCATGCTTTGAATATATGACTGGGTGTTTGCCCAATGGTCCCAAGAGTACACTTTGACCATTTCCACACCCTGAAGAATCCACCCAGTGACACATCCGGGGTCACAGCCCCAACTGCTGCCAACCAAGGGACCCACACAGAGCAACAGGAAGGTGAAACAGGAAAAAGCCCACAGACCAGCGGCCCCGAAGAGCGATGTGAGCTGAGGCTTTGCCCATGGGAGCTGCAGTGGAGGGGAGGTGTGGGGACACCCCCACCCATCTCTTCTTTCTTGCTGCTGTGAATTGGCCTGGTATTGCTGATCCAAACGAGAGAAACAAAGAGGAGTGATGTCACCAAGCAGAACTATGGCTGTCAGTATTTATCCCAAACTGTTTTTTTCCCTTAGTCCATTTTGTCATTTCCCTTATATACAAATCTTATTTCTAAGAGAGAGTAACAATCATTACTTTAACATTATTAGAGGACTTCCTTAAGGAACTTTAAGAAATAATACAAGAATGGTTACAATAGTGCTTCCCCAAAGAATTACTGTTAATATTTCAATTTTATCCAAAATATACTTTTATATCAACAAACAAATTTTATTCTTTAAAATATTCTGACATGTAGTAAGCAGTTAAATAATAAAATAAATAATACTGAAGTAGAGTATTTTGCAATGCTAAACCTAAGGCAACTGAATTTTAGGTCATGGTGTAAGGTCACACTGATAGCCAGTTAAGCCATCCTGACTATGCAAGTCAATTTTAAGCTTAAGTATAATATAGTTAATTATTTAGATCTCTGTTCATCTGTACTGGTTTATTTTCATAAACAACTAATGAATGAGAAACATCATTTTAATCAAAACTGAAAGATTTCAGTGACAAATGAACACAATCACTGGCTAGCTTACCTGAGATGTTTGGGATTAGTGGCGTGTTCACTGTTGGCCTCTCTGTCTTTCTTTGGCTTTTCCATCTTCCTGGGGGACCTCTGCTGTATCACCTCTCCTTTATCAAACATGAGGTGCAGGCGGTAGCTGACCACTTTGATGATTGTGAAGAGCACAGTCACAGAACTGCAGTAGAACAAGGCAGTTATCATGGTTGGTGGGAAAGCCTAAACGAGAGGAAAGAGAAAAACAATTGCATTCTTGTTTTAAACTGGAAACATTTTTGGACAATTTATCAAGCATCAATTGGGCAGGATTTCACATTTTATTAATTAAGTGACTTGTCCCAGGTAAAACGACCAAGGAGAAAGAGCTGCTATCTGTTTACGGAGTGTCTTTCTTATTTTTCAGGTTCTGTTCCAGTCACTGTGATGACTAACTTGTGATCTGCAGGCAGGAGCCTCACAGAGAAAAGCACATATTAGAGGAAACTCCCACCACTTGCCATCAGCCCCTGTGTGCAGTGGATCTGTCACTCTGTGCATCTGGCCAGAGAAAGACCTCATAAAACACAAGGGGCTGTGTGGAGCTCTTTGAGAGAAAGAGAGGAGGAGCAAAGTCTGAACCACTCCCCTCTTTCCCCTCTCCAACCTCCCAGTAGGTCGGCACCAGTAGGCTGGCACACCTCCAAGTGTCACAAAAGACCCTGGAGAAAGTCTGCTTAGTCCTGTCCAATCCCCTCAAAGAACAAAGAGAGTTCCTGGGACACATGGAAATGTCCCCTCCACAGTGCTCCCCAACTTCCAAGCTTTCCAGATCTCTCCCAGGACCATGGACCATCACAGGGCCTCCTACTCTTCCTAAACCAATTCTCATCCCTTGGGATGAACACAGATTGTGATCATCTGGACCGAGGCACTGGCCTCTGTGCCCACAGGTCTCCCAGGAGGATTTCTACAATCTGGTGACCCATGAATCTAAGCACAGCCAGGCCCATGGACACCAGTACCTGGCAAGCCCCTGCACACTCTGACGGTTTATCTTGGTGGTCAACATGATTGAATTAGACATGTCCAGGAAACTAGCAAAGCACATTGCTGATTTTGTTTGTGAGGATGATTTCAGAGATGACTGGCATGTGGGACACCAATCTGGGGGGGCAGGGGGCACCCTGAATGTGGGTGGCACCAACCAACAGCCTGGGGGCCAGGATGGAATGAAAAGAGAGGGAGAAAGTACCCTTTGCTTCATGAGTGCCATGAGGCAGCTTTTTTCCACCACACCCTTCTGTCACAATGTTCTGCCTCACCTCAGGGCCACAGTAAGGGAGCCAGCTGATCATGGACAGCAACCTTTGAAACCATGGGCCAAAACAATCCTTCCTTTCTCTAAGTTGTTTTTCTCAAACATTTTATCACAGCAATGGAAAGGTCACAATACATCTTGCCAAAGAGGTCCAATTTGAGGGTCAGTCCTTCAAATAGAAGGTCAAACAAAAAGAAGGATGAAAACAAAGCACACCTATCACCAACAAGGAACGATGAAGAGAAGAATCTTCACTATCATAGAGTTGCATTTGCTCCACAGAGAAAAAAATCTACAAGTAAATACAAATTAATAAATACATGAATGAATGATAAAACACAACTTGGCAGATGATAGGCAAAATTAGGCCCTATATGGAAGCAGGTAAATCCCATATTTATACTCACACCTCCTGCTTCAAAGCTGGGAAGAATGTGTGGAATACAAGGGAAAGTTGCAAGCACAGGACACTAATAGCCCTCAGCACTTTTTCTAAACTATTTCAAGTTTTAAAAGTTTAGGCTAGGGCTGAGGATTTAGCTCAGTGGTGCCGCCACATGCCTCGCAAGCGTAAGGTCCTGAGTTTGATCCCTGGTACCAAAAACAAGTTTAGGCTACAAGCTGGGCATAATGGTGCATGCCTGTAAACCTAGTACTCTGGGAAGCTGAGGCCGGAGAACTGCAAGTTTGAGCCTAGCCTGAAAAACTTAGTGACTTAGCAAGACCCCGTCTCAAAAATTAAAAAGGGTTGGAGATGTAGCTCAGTGTGAAGGCACTGAGTCCAATTCCCAATTCTGGAAAAAAAAAAAAACCAGGTTAAAACTAGAGAGTTAAATAAACAGATAATATAAAAGGAGAAAACACTCCAGGTGGCCATGAGAGTAGGCTACAGCAGCATAATATACAAATTATATTCAAATAGTTTGAAAATTTGTCCCAATTGTCCCATAATTTGAGCTTGGTAGTCCTGAAAGTGCACAAAGAGAACTTCCTGGGGCTCCCTCCCCACCTCTGCATTCCCAGCCTCTCCTGCAGTTGGCTGTGTCTTTGTGTGGCCCTCAGGCCAGGGATAGTGGGCAGAAATGTGGAGTCTGAACAGTTGAGACCTTCACACCTCCAACCCATCCTCTCTGCTTATCCGGGTGACCTCAGGGACCATGGCTCTCCAAATGATGCTTCTACAAGACCATGAAGATGCCTTCAGCCTGGGGATAGGGAAGGCCATGGAGTAAGGCCCTAAAGGATTAGGATGGACTCAAAACAGGAAACAACCTTATTCATTGAACCCCTGAAGTTTGAGTTCTACTTTCTATGGAAGCTTAGCTTGATGGACCCTGGGGCTCTGCTTCCACGAGGAGGAGTCCATTCGTATCAAAACAGATATGAACTGGAAAGCTCTCAGACCCTAGGAGAGAAGCTAGGGAGGGAGGGAGAGAGATAAAGGATATGTAGGGCTCACTGGAAAGATTATTTGGAAAAAAATCTGGCTTATCACAATAAGGAGGGAGAGTCCCAGTGCCTGGGGGGAGGCTCCCCCGCCGCCATTCCACACTCCTAGGGCAGAGAAGGTGAGCCAGTCCCAGCACCCGGGAGGAGGCTCCCCCACTGCCATTCCATGCTCCTAGGGCAGAGAAGGTGAGCAGTCCCAGCACCCAGGACACACCCCCCCGCCATTCCACTCTCTTAGGGCAGAGAAGGTGAGCCAGTCCCAGAGCCTGAGAGGAGGCTCCCCTGCCAAAATTCCACGCTCCTAGGGCAGAGAAGGTGAGCCGCGCAGGCGCCAGAAGCACCCCACCCCCCGGTGGAAATGAGAAGACATGTAAGCAAGCCTCAAAAACAGACTTCCGGATCACCTACAGCAACTCCAAAGGGAAACAAGATGGAACAATCTGATACTCAACTACCTGGACTCTCTGAACTGGCAACTAAAGAGGATCTGGGAAAAATGAAATCAGAAATAATTTCTCAGATAACAGCAAAGATTTTGCTCATAGTGAAAGACATGATTAATAAATCTAGAGAGGACAC